ACAGAACCTCTTCAGGCCCTCAGGCGCTGCGATCTTTTTCCTGTTTAGCTGCGAGCCCCTGGGTTCGGAAAGGTGAAACAAATCACCAGATTGATGAATATGATTCGTTCTTCTGGCACGCCTTGCTCCTTTAATATTTCTACAGCTTTAATCGCAGATCCACCAGTCGCTGGCAGAGGTGATCGCTGAGAAGTGAATCGGGGTGTGTCCGCCAATGCTTACCGAGCATAGGATCGAGTAAGAGAATGTATCGTTGAGCGATATCTTCTGGGAACTGCAATTGGTTCGGGCTGTCAAAATGCACACGACGGGCTCGCGGTTTCAGGTACCTTGCAGTAGAAAAGCTTCGGTTGAGCAGTCTCCTCGTCCTGATAAAACTTCAGAGATTAGCGTGTGAGACAACTGATGGCGCGCACCCTCTGGATGAGAATCTTGCCTATGCGAACGCTTCGACAAACTTCCCGTAAACCTGCCTCCATTGCCTGGGTGCAAATGCTCAAAGTAAGCTCATCGCATTCCACGGGACATAGATACCTCTCCAGCACGCAAGATGGACACGCCGCATATCTTTCCCTCGAAGCCAACTCCTTCGTAGGTTGATCCCTGTGAAGGTTATCCAGATCAGCGGGACTAAGCCAAGGAATGATACAGACTGTAGGCGTTTCGATGGTCTTTGGGACAACGGGCAGATGGTTGAGGCCCTCTTCGACAAGAAGCCGGATGATACGGTCTGAGTAGAAGAGGAAATCGCCCCTGCTGGTTGTCTTGTCCCTGATGATCGTGTACAGCGCTTCGAGCTGGGCAGTCTGAGGAAGTGTGAATACAGACGGAGGCAGGGCTGCGGGCGTCGACTGGGACGTCGGGGCCGTCGTCATCTTGCGAGTGTCACCCAAGAGCGATGTCGTCCGACATCATTTACGTTGTTGTATCGACCATATCAGGGTGGTAAGCCCCTATCCGGGAGGCTGACCAGCTCGAGAAAAGACAATCCATGTCCCCTGTCTGCCATCTGCCATCTCGCTCGTTTCTTGTCTCTTTCGCGCCTTGCTGGTCATGGTGCCCTGTCACTTCCTTCCCTGCCAGAATTTTGGTAAGAGAACGGTGCGTACGCCAGATCTCGTCTTCTCATTGTATACCTAAACGCAAGCAGACCGTTCTACTAGACACCCCAGCAAAGTATTCAAGCCCTGGTGGCTACTGTTCCTTGGATATCTCCACTCCTCACTTGATCTCGTCGACAAACATCCTACCTGACACTTGGTGTTCAAAGTCCACTCGCGGTATGCGGAAGACAGTCGTTGGGGCCGCCGAGAGTTTCACCCATTCACCGGAGCCCCCTGTCGCGGCAAGCGACACCGTTGAATTGCATAGTCCTCAAGCGGCGTGCACGAACCCACACACAGATGTGATGATTTCAATTACAAGTGCTTTATCACAGCTGACTGTCTGCGTAGGATCGACCCAGTTCACCTGATGACACCCTCGAGTCTCAAACCAAGCCGCCCATTGCCGACGACGCTTACACCACAGAATTTGCAGGCACTCAACTTCATCTCGCTCTGCTTTCCCCTCCGAGTATCCCTCGAGTTGGCCTTCGGCGGAGGGCTACCATCAGAGTGGCTGGTTCTGCCGTTCTAAAGACACGGACTGCAGAAAATCGGCTTGCGGCGTACAATAAGCTTTCGCATGGGTCCCGACCGCACGCATCGTCCACTCCTTCCGCAGCCCGGAGCGACAGACGCCGCGGTGAACGTTCCGAAAGAGATAGCACTGTGCCCTCCCGCAGTAAGGAGAACGAAGGCTCCGATGGACTTTACGATCGGGATGCTCAGACATCGGCTTGGGCTCGTCGCGTTACTCGTCGGCGCAGGCCACACACGACTGCGATGGCAGCAGTTACGCAGGGAGATTGCCAGAGTATTTCGAAAGCGACAAGCGGGGATACTTCTAAGAACCGTGTTCTTTGCGACATTACGAATGCGTTCCAAGAAACGTCCACGGGTGCAGAAACAATGCACCAACTCCTTCGACTGCCAAGCAGGCCACTGCGCCATCGACCGCGCATTCCGTCGGAGCTTCTGAAAACCGATGAAAATGCCTCGCAGACGCCCAGTATGTTGATCTTTATCTTCGCGGGAAATCTCTCGATCTGCTGACCACCCGACTGAGAAGTGAGCAACGGGAGATGGAACGATCACCACATTGGTATTCGTTCCTTCCATGGGTGACGTCTGCAAGTTTGACGCTCCTGATGATATGGCCTCTGGCAGTCCAAATCTACGGAACGTTTTCAAGTTGTGTTTTAATAGGAATCGTTGGTGTGCATGTGCAGTAGTACGTCCATAACGCGTGTTCAAGCGATCGTTTCCAAAGAGGATTAAAGTTTTGCATGGAAATCATGCCACTTGGAGATGGGTGATAGTTGATTCTTCTCGGATTGGACCAAAGTTTTTCTCGTCTACTACGTTATAATTCTTGTATTGCATCGTGTCATACCTTAGTACGGATGGATTGCCCCCAGTGTAGCGATCCATTGCTGAGAAGGAAAGTATCGACTGTTGCAAGCACGCGGGCGAGTGCAGTGGTAAAGGACAACTCGTTTGGACTCTGACGCTTCCCTCCTCGGCTCCAGCAACGAAACCCATCGAGGTGGCTCCAAAAAGGTTCTGTCATTAGTACTTACTGATGCCCCTGGAAGAACGCCAGCATAATTACCTCGAGCAACAATTGAACCATGTTCGCCTCCCGTGTGTATGACACCCTTATTTGGCCCTTTTGGCGTATTTCCTCCGCTGTGGCTGGCTCACGGGGCGCCATGAACAGTGGGCGGCTACCATTCATTACTTCATTGCACCAAACGCACGGGTGCATGCAGGTCCTCCTGTCGTGTTCACGCTGGAATATCTTCCACTGTCCGGCTATATCCTATCGCCTTCCAATATCGTGTGTGGGTCATGCAGTTTCAGGCGTTCAAGTGGATTCCATCCTTCGGCTGTCAATGTTTTATGCGAAGATCATTTCGGGAGCAATCGGCACATACAGGATACCCTGACACACGAGCTGATACACATGTATGTATACCCATGGCAAGCTTTACGTTGATTGCAATAATTTTCAGACGTCTGCGTGCAGCGACGTGAATGTACCCGTTGAAGTTGAGATGGTAGGGTTTAGCTAGCACACATTAACCCTCAAGGATTTTGTGAACAGTCCAAGTGGGGAGTTGGGAAAGGAAATGTGTCCTTTTCAAAACAGCACACCCGGTCATTCCTCACAGTGGGTCTCGTTTAGAACTGGTCCGTGGAGAACTCATGCTCCATTATTTCTTTTGCTTTCCTTTTTTTCCTCCTGGCTAGGTATGCGGACGCCGAACGGCTATAATGTCTGTACGAGATCAACCTAAACTTTGCCCTGACCAGACTGCAGTTGGCGTGCAGTGAACGAGGTCTCATGAGAGATTTGTTTTAATGACAGGAGGGCGCCTAATGAAGCGAGGATCTCGACTATTTGTTTATATGGCGGAGAGCTGAAGAATGCATTCCAGATCAATCGATAAAGATAGCCGCGCTCGGGGGCAGCCAACTTGCCCCGTCTGGAAAGAAAGAAGAGGGGCATGGTGAAGCGCGTTCGTGCTAAGAGGAGTTCATTCAACGTTCCACCCAGTTATGTACTGATCGGTGGCAGAGATGTTTGTCCTCGTGGCCTATATATCCACTAGCGTACTGATAGACGCCACGAGTCCTGGCGCGCAATAGGGACTCTTAGCGTCTAATGGTACGCTAGCCTAGGAGTGGAAGAGAATGGAAGACATCACGAAGGGTCATGGAAACCTCAAGGCCTCACGAGAGCCCCCGTGGATGTCGGTGCGGTTCGGTTTCGACCTATAAATTAAAGGAAAAACTCATGGGACTCGCAGGTTCATTCTCGCCCTCTTTCCCCTCTGCCTCTTCACGACCATGTTCGCCCAGATCCTGTCCGTTATTTTCTTTCTTACTAGTCTGAGTCTTTGTTGACGCACTGATAGTGCCGTTGCTCTTGCTCTTCCTGTTGTTTTCGCACTCAGCCTTGATGGCCTGGTTAATGCTATCAGTGGCCAGTCAACCACGGTCACCTGGGGGTCCAACGGCTCAGATCCTAGTGCCTTCTCTCTTCTACTGGCCAACCCCGTCTTCCACGACACGTTTGCCATCGCGAACAACGTCGGAACTTCCCTGGGCTCCCTTTCGTTGGTACTTCCTCAAGTCCCTGCTGGGTACGTCTGTCTCACTTTGCTCGTTGACCATGCATAACTCCGATGTTGTACAGTCTCAGCTACGTTCTTCAAGGCATTGACCCAAGGTACTCTCTTCTTTTTCCCTCGCACTGTACAAAATGGTGGCCTCAACGACCATCTTCCCTGTGTTATCGTAATGTAGCAACGTGAATGTCGTGTACGGTACCAGTCCGTCGTTCGGCATCGCATCTTCGCCGAACACGACTACGACTACGACCACGACCACGACCACGACTGCAACCACGACTCTGAGTTCTTCATCGACGTGAGCTACTTCAGTCGCTGGTTTCAGTTATTGATGGAAGTTTCGTTTAGTACTTCTGGCACCACGCCTGGCAACCCGACCGTTGCAATCCTCCCCCTGGAACTACCACGACCACTTCCTCCACGACGTCACCTACCAGCTCCAACGGTGTTCCGTACAAGTTTAACTTTGCTGCGGCTCCTGTTGCTGTCGTTGTTCTCTCTGCGATTGCTGGTGCTGCTATGCTCTTCTAAATAGGACTCCCTGCATCTTTCCATCTGCGTCCTCTCGCTAGGTTGATGTTTCTGGCTTGGTGGCGTGTCTCTGCATTTACATAAGGAAATTTTGGTTGTGTCATAGCATTTTTCTCCGTAGTAGGGATGGCTGTTTTTGTGACATTTGTGTTTCCAAGCCGACACTTGTACATTTGCATCGATGCCCACAAATATGAGTCACAGTTGTCCGAAACAAAGCAGTCGTAACGCCCGCCTAGCTCAATCGGATAGAGCGTCAGACTCTTATCACTAGGCAATCTGAAGGCTGCGAGTTCGACCCTCGCGGTGGGCTACTGGTTTAATTTTTTTAATTTTTCACTTACACAACACATTTTTCAAGATTTGGGACCAGTTTTAATGACAAACAGAATGTCAATCTTGTACTTGAAATATAATTTGTCATTTAGGAAATGTGAAAACATCAAATGATGTATCAAATTAAATGTGGATTCAAACTTTATATATTGTTTTCACATTTAGGTCAACATTTAGATCTAGACAAAATGTCAACAACCCTCCTAAAAGGGGGGTTATCTGTGTTGGTATCGCGGAGTAGATACCGGCATCCTGTACAAGGCGCTCTAAGGTAACAGAGTGTTCTCTATTGTAGTAGACTATTCTAGAATATTGTTCACACACAGTATAAATACCCGAGCTGATAGGGCGAGGGAATAATACAATTATCTTATCGATCATTCTCACGATCAAGCCTACACTCTACAATCTGTACTTTGACCAGGTTTAAATGTTGACCTAAATGTGAAAGCATACTTAAAGTTTGAATTCACATATAATTTGGTACATTATTTGAAGTTTCCATTTTTCCTAAATGGCAAATTATATTTCAAGTACAAGATTGACATTCTGTTTGTCATTAAAACTGGTCCTAAATCTCAAAAAATGTGTTGTGTTATCCTTCTTTCTTCTTTTGTCCACGTTGCTTTCAACTCTCCCGAAAAAGGGGATGCTCCGCGCCAGCCAATGGAAGCGCGTTCTTAGTGTCCTAGGATCTTATCACCGCACACCATTACCCTTGCTCAGAGTCAACCCCAAGCTGCAAACGAGAATGGCTTCCTTCCTAGCAGAACGGTACTTGGCTGACAAGGCTCCCCCGATCTGCAGGGTGGAGGTTGCAAAGGCTTTTGATCAGTTGACGTGCGTCTTCCCCCTTTGATGGGCTGTAACGGGCGTCTGATTACGACTGATAGGTCGAGAGAGAAGCTCTATGCCCATTACATCGGACAAGCTTCTTGGGCAGGAGCTCGCGTCGTCCAGGGTCAATGGACAGCTCAAGCACAGACTCTCTACGACCTGCTTGTCCTCACCTTCGGCGCCAACGGAAAACTCGCCGATCTGGAGGCATTGAAACAACGGTCGGGTGTGAGCGAACAAGACTTTGATGACGCTGTCCAGTATAGCGCTCAGGTGCGTCTGACTTAGTATGGCAGCTTTCTGAGCGTGTGTAACTCTATATCCAAGGTCATGCATAACCTGGTTAACTATAAAAGCTTCGGTTTCACGAAGTTCGTGCCGCGCATTCCGGTCGGCGAATTTGCAAAAATTATAGCAGCTTCGACAAACGCAGCCAATGCGGTGCCTCTGTGGGAGACGGCAAGTGGACTCCGTCGTTTCCTCATCCTCTTGTCTGCTCATGCCCTGTCAAATTAGCTTAAGGACCACATATATTCTACGACCCCTGAGAACTCGCTGTTCATCGGGAAGCGCAGCGAGGGCCACGTGTCAAACTACTACTTGGGCGAAGTTATCACTGACGAAGAGGTGTCAGCGGTTCAGGCAGCTGCGGAAAAGATTGGTGTCGACATTCTCAATACGCGGTATTTCCAATCCATATATTGAACATTCATGTGCTCACCTCATAATAATAGAGTGCGTAAGAATGGACCGGGCGACTTCACCCTCCTCGTCGCGTCCGCCAGCAAGCAGCCGCCAATGCTACATGATATCAGCATGACTTCCGAAACAGCAAAATTGACTGTTGAATATGGCGACTTCTCAGAGCCGCTCTCCAAAGTCATCACTGCGCTTCAAGAGGCACGGGATCACTTCATCTACATTTTGCTTTGTAACTCTGAGCTTTTTTTTGACAGGCCAAGAAATACACCGCCAACGAAACGCAAACGCAAATGTTGGAGTGCTACATCAAGTCGTACGTGCTTATTATTTGGTATTCTCGGTCGATATAAAATATCTGGTCAGCTTTGAGACCGGCTCAATCGAAGAGCACAAAAAGGGGTCAACATATTGGGTCAAGGATATTGGTCCTGTCGTCGAGAGCTACATCGGATTTATAGAGACCTATGTCGATCCTTATGGTGGACGCGCCGAGTGGGAAGGTGAGTGACAACGACGGTAGAAAACAGTATTTTAACACTGTAAAGGCTTTACTGCCATCGTCAACAAGGAGTTGAGCTGCAAGTACGACGTGTTGGTCAACGACGCTCCGGAGCTTATCAAGGTTCTGCCATGGGGCAAAGACTTTGAGGTCGATGTGTTCCGAAAGCCCGATTTCACTGCACTAGAGATTGTGCACTTTGCTACGGGAGGTCAGTTGTGTTGTTTTTGTATCCTTCGCACAACACTGAGGCTCACTCTAATAGGTATACCCGCCGGAATCAATGCAAGTGCTGCTACTATCTGCTTTTCCTTTCCTTTCCTAACCCACCGAATTTCCAGATACCTGTAATGACCGATTTCGCTTTCACTTCACGCTGACCCTTACCCGTATTACTAAGAACTATTATAACATACGAGAATCGACCGGCTTCAAGAATGTCTCTCTCGCGGTGAGTGACCTTGCGACATGTTTTGGTAAAGGGCGTGTTCAATGGTCCGCTTAGAATATCCTCAGCGCCAAAGCGCCCAGTAAGTTCTACCTCAAACCTTCAGGCTTAGGGGCGTGACTCATCCTTGTAGACGAGGTCGTGACTTTTATCCACCCTGATGATCTCGACCTGTATAATGCTTGGGATGCAAGGGCATTCGAACTGCAAGTTGCGAACCATGAGTTACTGGGACACGGTTCTGGGAAATTGTTCCAGGAGGCTGCAGATGGTTCGAAGAACTTTGATCCGGAAAAGGCGCGTTTGGCCTGGGAATTTCGTTCTCGATATTAATTTTGACAGCAGGTCATCAATCCGCTCACCGGAAAACCTGTGTGAGTAACCAAATTTCTGTCCTCGTTCTTTCAAAGAGTTACACTATTCCAGTGAGACGTGGTATAAACCTGGTCAAACTCCAGACTCTGTTCTCGGAGAGGTTTCCTCTTCCATGGAAGAATGTCGCGCTGAAACTGTAGCATTATACCGTGAGCTTTGATGTTAATCTTGTTTTCATGGTCAATTAATGTATCTCGTATAGTCGCAAACCACCCTACCATCCTGAAGATCTTTGGGGTAATACTCTCTTTTCTACTTCAACCAACAAGGTATTGACTTTACGAACAGTACACGGACAAGAAAGACGTAGACGATATCGTCTTCATCACCTTCCTTCTCATGGCACGCGCTGGTCTGCGTGGACTAGAGTTCTATGATCCGATCACCAAAAAGCATGGTCAAGCTCATATGCAGGCTCGGTGGGCACACAAAAATTCATTTGTCTTGGTATGGATACGGAAGCACTGACCCTCCTTCCGATACCAGGTTAGGAATCACCACCTTCATGGTGAATGAAGGTTTGGTGCGCCTCGAGGAAGTTCGCGGACCAAACGGCGAATTAGAGAACATCTACGCCAGGGTACGTGTCCCTCCTTAGATTCGCCACCTTACACCACACAATATCGACGGTGCTTTGCCCAGGTGGATCGCGAGAAAGTACTCCGAGAAGGACAATCGATCATGGCAAAACTTCTGCTCGAACTGCAAGTTCGGAAGAGTACCGCAGATGGACCAGGCGCGAGGGCATTCTATACCGAGTTGACGACGCCGTTACCGGGATGGACTGGAGAAATCAGGGACGTGGTGTTGAAGCTGAAGCAGCCGCGCAAGATGATGTTGCAACCGAATACCTTCGTTGTTAGTGGCGAGGTGGTCCTGAAGGAATACCCACTTACTGCGGCTGGTATGGTCGAGAGTTTAATCGAGAGAAACCTTTAATCTGTCTTTGTGACGAAGTCGACTAAATGATTACTTGTAACACAGCGGGGCGGAAGGAATTACACTGGAAATGGGGTAAGTATGTAGATACAATTATGTAAAGGTACCCCTGCCGGCTCAATTTACCCATCCCATCTCCTTGGTAACCATCGCATAAGAAACACGATCCTTACTCTTCCGTCTCGCGCCGACTGACTCCGACTCCATGCAACCGTTTCGAGGACACCAGGCCCTCAGGGACCGTCTGCAGCGCTCCCCAGGTCTGCCATGTCGACGATCCCAGCCGATCGTTCTGGATGTATCCACCTTCGCCGATCGCTGAAGCACTGTTCGGAGATACCGGACTATGCTGATTTCGTCGTGATCGGTTCAGGTATTACTGGAACGTCTGTTGCGAGAAGGCTATTGCAGAGGTGTCGGAAGGTTGGTTGGGACGGCGTGAGGGTTCTGATGTTGGAGGCCAGGGATGCATGTTCGGGTGCGACGGGGAGGTACGCTATCGCATAATATTGGTTCGTGGAGTCATGTGGGACTGTGACTCTCCTCCCCACTTTCCATCCTTATTCAGCCACAGAAATGGCGGTCACATTTCGCCGCCTCTATACCACGACTGGGCGGCATTACAAGAACAGTACGGAGAGGATTATAGCACAGAAGGTGATAAAGTTCCGGCTTGCACACCTCCAAGGAACTCCGGCAGGTCGCAGAAGAGGAGGGACATTCTAGAGGTGTCCGAATGGCGAGCGGTCGACTCCGTGGATGTGTATTATGATAGCCGTTCTTTTACCAATGCCAAGGCCAAGCTATCAAAGTATCAGGCAGGATTTACCTTTCGAAGCAGTCACATCATCGAGTGTATGAGGCTGCAGAGGCGATAGAGGTACAGTAAATAAGGCCTTGATCTACTCAGCCCCTGTCGTATTGATTTATTACTGAAATCTTCAAAAAAAAATAGACGTTCCAGTCTCGCAGACGATGTTGCAGGGTGTATTGCTGGTGGTGCAGGTGCCATTCATCCGTATAGATTTGTAACTGGGATCCTTTCCAACCTCCTTGCGCGATATCCAGAGAAGTGAGCTTGGAGTCTCTCGGTTTTCCTTTCTTTTTCATCCACGCGTATATCTAACGGCACATCTACTGCCAGCTTTTTCCTCTGCACGAACACCCCTTGTATCTC